GCAACAAAATTAAAAATTTTGAACTGGCTTTATCCAATATTCTGATTCCTGTTCTGGAAATGTGAACGTGAAATCGTCACAATGTACTTTTGATTAATCAACTGGGGAATTACATGGTCAAATTTACTAGTTAATTTTCACCTGTGGTGTCTTGCCTTAGATTTACAATAGTTATCGAAATTGACTGAAAACGAGGGCATATTTTGTCTCAAATAAAACATCAATTTAAAACTGTAACAAAACACACACAATTAAAATAAAAATATCAATCTGAATAACTAGACTAATTAGGCCTAGAATAACAGTGAAAAATACATTACATGGACATTGGTTAGTCCCTACATTTTGAAGTTTTGAAATTTTCCTGATAACCACATTAAATTTTGTACTTTTGAACAAACAGGCATAATCAATGTGTTCGATACACTTTCCTGACAATCGAGACAGTTAATGGGATTTTATCTCTGCTGCACACTCTGCCCCACCCACGCCCTAAATATGACAATCATGCAAGTCACTGCTGTCAAGCAACATCACGCGGTATATGCATGCATGCATCCCTCATCTCAAACCCTTTATAATCAACCGACAACACATAGATTCATAAAATATGGTGCTGCATATGGTCACTACTAACAAGATTCTCAATCTTGCATTATATTGATGAAACCCTTCATTTATTTTTTAATGTGTCATTAGCGTAAAGGCATATTTTACACCACACTCACCGTCTGCAGGCTGCTGGAAGTTGACATAGGCATAGCCGAGCGACCTGCGGGTGATCATGTCCCTGCACACGCGGATGGAGAGGATGGCACCGGCCGGGCTAAACTTCTCGTAGAGCATGGCTTCAGTCACGTCCTGGTGCAGGTCCCCAACATACAGCGAGGCCATGGGGTAACTAGGAGCGCTGGGGTTCATTTTCTATTCGGTCGCAGTTGTGAACTTGTGAATTTAGGTGTTTCGCGGCACCAGCGCGTGAGATCAACTACGTCAGAATACAGTTAGCTGTCAAGCTATTCTAAACACGCCAATTTTTACAATTTAAAATCGTCGACTAAAAGATTATTTCTGGAACGATATAAGCGTTTGGTGCTTCGTTTAAAATGACAAATAATAAGGGCAACAAAAATGTTAAAACGCGAAAAAATCCAATGCAACGAATCAAGCAAACCGCTAGGCCGAGCTCACAGACTGTCGTTATTTTTTCAGGGTTGTTGCGATGTTTCAAGGCCTCCAGCTTCCACTTCACCGATTTTTATTTATAAACAAAAAAAAGAAAAAAAAAAGGAGGATTTTTTGGGTTTTTTAAAAGTTTTAAATTTTTTTTTATTTTTTTTATTTTTTATATAATGTGTGCCGAGGCAAGCTCCGGAGCACACACGCACTCACACAGCACTGACAGCCGGGGGTTTCGGGAGGAATGGGATGGTCTGAGCCGTCACATATATACCCGCGTGTACGTCATCCACCGTGCACGCGCATGAGAGAAACGCAACAGTCGCTCACCGGTTTGGATGATGATTGGATGAAAAATGTCAGAGCCTGTAGATATGTCTAATAAGCTTTATGAACGACGAATAGTTGATTTTTGTGACAATGACGAAGGTGTTAAAGGGAAAAGAAATGATTGAATTTCATTTTGTACAGTCTATTAATTGAGTTAATTTAATGTAAAATTTGAAAATGGCTTTGTTAAATATTTATAGTTTATTCTTTATTTATATATTAAATTGTATTAGTACGGTTAATACTATCCATTAACGATCAAAGGAAGCATTGAGATATTTGTAGGTTTTTTTTCTGAAGTCAAAAATTTCCACTACAGTGTTTCATTGTCACATTTGTCTCCGTTGTCTTGCAAAGACTAATTCCATAGCTAACATTTTATGTATCCTAAATATACCCAATTAAATAACATTTCCATGCTATTTGAGAAGCCCTTTGAGAAAGCAACTTTTAACGGCGCTATATAAAATAAATGTATTATTATTATTTGCATCGTTTGACAAACTTATTGGTTGAGCGGAAATTAATCAATAAAATGACACTGTTTTCTCCATGGTAAACAAGTAGCCTATACTGTAACTTAAAAAAGAAAAGAAAAAAAAGATAAGGGGCAAATTTGTTGTATTTGTGATTTTTAAAGAATTATACATAATACATATTAAAATAGTTTATGTTTATTTGATTCTTTGTGATGATAATTTATTTTTTTATAATTGTTTAGGTTAATATTGAAAGTCTGGGTCACGGGCAAGGGAAATACATTAAAATCTATAAAAGGCATTACAAAAAGCAAAATGTTTCAAATACAGTTTTAATTTGACTTTTATATAACAAAAATATGTTAGTTACTTTATATAACAAAAATATGTTAGTTACGTTAGTCTGTTTGTTAAATGAAAATAAAAGCTGGGACATAAAATTGCCAAATCAAAGAAATACTCACTTACCAAAAAGTAATTTAACAATAACTGATTCTTTGAAGGTTTATAGTAGTGATAATTAGCGTAATTGCTTTGATCAAATAGGACAGCTTGCTGAAGGGAGAGGTGGGGATAGTCTTTGATCAGTGTTGCCTTTAATTTACTTGCACAGTCTGTTACTTGTTTAGTTATCAGTCATCATAGTTCATGAGTGAGTTCTACTGAGTTACAGGATTGATGATCAGCCTGCAGATGACTGTGCTGAAGAACACCAATAGGGGGAGTAACAGACCTTGAAGAACTACTGACACTGCAGATATCCGCAGTGCTGAGCTGCACTGCTTTGATATGATCTGGATTTTCTACTGAGACATTCTATGGTTTTAATTACATCACATGAACAAATGTCTATGCTGGATGTTGGTAGTACAGTTGTGTATGTCTGTCTATCGAGTGAGTGTGCGCGTAAGCCACAAATGCAGTTATTGGTAGCATTTTTCCCCACAACATTGTATCCCGAACACTTCATTGTTTATTTACAGACTGATTGCAAATTTTAATTATACATTTAATCATTTGATGAACAATGTTGTTATATAGCTATCCTTCCCCTTCCATATTGCCCGAACCTGAATTGTGTTCTTTGTCCTTTTAAACATCGTGAGCTTATTGTGTAAATGCTGCTAAAAACGACTTTCACATTACAAAGGCTCTGGTGGTGCCCATATCGAAGTTTCCTTCTGAAGTGTTTAATAATCCACATGCATTGTCTCGCATGACAGTGTGCTTTGTCATTACTCAGAGAAAGTTTCTGTCTCCCATCCCTTCCTGCTGATTACTCATTCTCTTTCCACATAAGTACTGTTGTTCAGTGCAGTCTATCCATCTCCATGGCAACACGGGCCCATCCCACAGCCGTAGCCCGAGGCTCTTCGCTGACACACCCAAACCGAGAGGAACAGTGCCTTTTCAAGCAGCTGTCCAGACATACAGGGACACTAGAGTTCATTTCATTGGATGGACAAACGGATATATATATATATATATAAAAAAATTAATGTTAAAATTCCCTGATTTTCTATATTTATATTATCCATCCATCTGTCCTCTGCAGGGCCACTGGAGCCTATCCCAGCATGTCTGGCCACAGGCGGGGGACACCCTGGGCACATGACCAGTCCATTACGGGGCTCTCACACTCACGTTGACACCTACTGATAATTCATATGCTGCGGGTTTTTGGATTGTGGTGAAAACTGGAGCACTCAGAGATTTATATATCATACCTGCAAAACCAGTGTTCCCACACATTTTGCTCAGTAAATTATTATTTGGACTACTGGATCAGTGTTTTTTTTATGAATTATTCCAGTTTCAAAGATCAATTTCTAGCCACCAAAATGTGCATTCCCTAATTTTATTGAACTACACAAGTTTTCAAGGTGTATAATATAACATTTAATAAATAATTAATAAAACCTGGAAATATGGAATTTTACAAATGGTAATTTCCATAAAAATGTATCAAATTCATTATTATATTATACGTTAAATTACACACCCTGACAACTGAATTACTATACAGGCTACTGGATTATTAAAACAAATTATTCCACTTTCAAAAAGCAGTTTCTAGCCACTGAAATACACTAATGTTCATGACTAGTAAAGATTTTATTAATCGACATACCTTTTCAAAGACTTACAATTGAAAATGCCCATATCGGTCCAGGTTTTCCACAAGCAGGATGTCATTTAAAGTAATCATTGTGTGCTCAGTACATGACATGAACAACAAATCAACATGTGCTCATGACTAGAGCACACTGGTGAGATAAGGTCATGCAAGTTAGTCAGCATTTACCAGAGTCACCTGTCCCGAAAGTCACCTCTCCGCCCGCGGTCCACTGAATCTGGTGCAGGATTCGAAGGCCTTTACAAACTCAAATGACTGCAGCTTCCACAGAGATTATATGACCCATTTCCTGCTCTGAATGTAAATCAGGTCTTAGAAGACATTAGACAACCACTTGACCACTAACACCACTCAAAGCCAAAGAATAGGTTTTCTATTAAAGCAGCATCTCAGATTAAAAGTTAAAATCATTTTTTTACTGACCGTCACGTTGTTCCAAACTTTCTTCTGTGGAGTTATTCCAACTTGTGCACTTGTGTATTCCAAGTCTTATGTAGTCAATGTTTTTTGACATGCTCTGCAGTAGCTTTGACACCCTCATTTCCTATTCCTTTTTGTTGTGTGAGAAAAAACAAGACAGCAGACTCTGCCTAAAATCTCCTTTTATGTTCCAGGAAAGGTGTGGAACAACAACATGAGGTAGAGTAAATTATGCAGATTTTCAATTTTGGGTAAGTATCCCCGCCTCCCCCCTTTTTTTGTTTTACTTGAAAATCCTTTTTAATAGTTTTTGTGTCCGAGAAACAAACCCCATTTCCCAAGCAAGCACAAAACTAAATTAATATTTCAAGTCCAGAAATAGGATCATTTGAAAACAGCCAGGTTTCAAAAACGGCAGACTGAATGCAAGGCAAAAAGAACAAGAGATCATGTGGTTTGTGTTTTATCTGTTTTAATTCCACTAACATGAAATCCAGATCCATCCGCCCACCCTCCATAACAAATAACAATAATGCTGAGTGTTCTGTATGAAAATTCAAAGACAGTTTCTAGGCAGCCCAATCAGCCAACTCCAGTCACCCTGATTAACTAAAGCCACATGCATTTTAGGCAAGTATCAAAAGAGTAAACAAAACAAACTAAAAACAGATTTAGTAAGTAGTAGTACAAATAAAACAAAACCGAAAATCCTAATAGAAAACAGTATTAATCAGATAAGCACATGAAAAGCGTTACTCCGGTAACAAGACTTTTATATCAAAGTTACAGTATAAGCCATGTGTCGAGTCTTTTTGATCTTAGGTCTGGTTAACAGAGAGATTGGATGCGTTATTCACCAATGAGAAATCAAACACTTGACAACAGAAGTAGAATGTCTTGCACAAGCCCAATCTGACAAGTATTCGTTCATACTGACTTTTGGTTTATTTCCCACGATTCTTTATGAAAATGAAGAATTCAGTCTAAGCAACAAGAAACCCATCACTAATTGCTCCCCTAGCAAACTCACAAACGGTTTCATACTCACTCTTTCTCTCACATATGCACCTACAACTAAGTTGATGTTGGCTTCATGGTGACTCGCATCAGTGATGCAGAAGCATCCCAGTGAGCATTTTTACATGAACACACATCAAGCCAACAAACTATATTGCATTCTCCAATCCACAATTAACACATTTTAAAGACAAACAACTTCTGTTTGTCCCCCTCCTCCCCTCCTCCCCCCCCAAACAAACACACGTACACAAACACAGTCTTTCCTTCACACTCTCAAATCCAAACACACACACACACACACACACACAAATGACGGGCTGGTGAGTATGAAGCTGGAACTGTAAAAGCGTCAGTGTTGTCTCTCGCTGTGCTGACTGAAAAGGTTCTTTGTAGAGTTGGCTTTAGTTTTCCCGGCCCTCCTCTGTGTCCTCACCGTCGGCCTGATTATCAGAGGTCCACAGCTGAAAATCAAAGACGACACATTCATCCACTTACATTTCGGTATATTTCTGACATCTTAAACACAGAAAATTAAAAGGGTAGAAAGGAACTTGACACATCTTGAAAACTTAAACTGATAAAGCGCACAGCATATTTTCCTGCACCATTGTTTTTTGTAATGTGGACGTAAGACCAAACCGGCATCATCCATCGGTGTGTGCGCGCATGGAAAGATACAGCCAAGTAACATCACATCGCTCTCTGAGAATTATTTTAAGATCTATATACAAGGTTAACTTGTGTTTGAGCTTTATAATCAGGATCATCAGTAAGTAATATGGAATTTTACATATTTTTGGCTATGTTCCATTAAGTAACATTTTCAATAAAGCTATATGTGTATTAGGGGTGTCGCAATATACCGGTGTTGACGATAATCGTGATATTCAAAGCCTGAAATATCGACATGTTAATTTAGAGTGTGGCAATATACCGGTATTGGCGATAACCACGATGTTTAAAATGAATAGGACTGTTATGATAACATGACACGTAAATACTCCAGCGCGAGTACCTGGTTGACCTCTCAGGTGGCTGTACTGCGGCTGACACAAAGACAACGCAGCCCGGGCCGCGCAGCTACTCTGAGAAGAATGTCGTCTGAGCGAGAGAGTGAAACTGTCCACACCTGAAAAAAGTAAGCTCGCCTGTATGCGAGTTCTTCGGCTCAAAAGAAAACAGCACTTTAAAGGGTGTCGCACACCGGACGAGAAGCGCAGCGCCACGTCTTTAAAATTCGAACACATTTTCTCTTCGAGTGTACACACACCGGTTGTGCCATTCGGCGTCTGTCCGCGGCGCCCAGCAACGGCTCTTGTTCAAAATCCTGCCGCGACACAGAGCGCCATTTACATAGTTTTATATTAAATTTACATTATATTTGTCTCAGATCAGCGTAAATGACTTCACTCTGTGCTGCAATGTACATTTAGTTTTACATTAATTTACAGAAATCAGCCGCTTGCATGAAAATTGCTGATGTTATGGGATTTTCAGGTGATATTCTTAATTCATTCAGTTAATGCTCCTCTGAGGTAAAGTGTTCAGATCACAGACTCAGCAACTATTGTATTTAATTGTACAGTACAATCACAACATAGTACAGACATTATCTTAATTTCATAATCTCCTTAAACATAAGAATACTGCTGGCCATAAACTGAGAAAGTGCGCGTCCGGTGTGCGATACCTCGAGTTGTCCTACACGCGACGCGGCGCTGCAGAATGTGTAGCTAGCCACCAACCTTTTTACCCATCTCCGTGTCCATCACCCTGCGGATTACGCAATTTTACAGAGAATACGTTGCGATTATTTTACTAGTCATGGAATGGGAAATGTGACATTAACCTGTTAACAGGGGGTTTCAGTGTTCATACATTTAATAAAGGGTGATTATTAAGAACCATCTTATTTTTGTATTTGTATTTGCACTTGATTTTTTTATTTGTACCCTTATGTTTGTTGGGTAAAAAAGAAAAACTATATAAACAAAGTAAAAATTAATTTGACTGATAACTAGATAACCAGTGTTGCCAACTTAGCGCCTTTGTCGCTATTTTTAGCGACTTTTCAGACCCCTTTAGCGTCATTTTTTCAAAAAAGCGACTAGCGACAATTTTAGCGACTTTTTGGACAAACCTCAGTAACCTTCAAATGTTGCCAGTACTGTCCTGTGAGCGTGAGGTCTTGCTTTCTCCCTGTCGTCACTCTCTCTAGCTGGGTCTCCTCTGTTCAGTGAGGAGCCTTAGCTACTTTCCTTTGAAAATAGTTGGCAACACTGTAGATAACTGATAACAGAGTAAGCCAAGAGTGTGTAACATTGTCACTGTTTCTGTACCACAGTCCATTATGAACCACATCATGGATAAAGTTAACAAAGCCATAGTCAAGTGAGGATCTTAATATATAATATAATATATATAATAATAGTAATCAGCTGATTGTCTCACAAACATAACCAGCAAATTTCTCCCCACGCCACATAGCAAACCCATAATACAGCGAGGGAGAAGAACCACATGAAACTATCCAACTACATATTTTTTCCAACAGGGTAGTAAAAGTTTAGCTGGCTAATATAAGCTGTTACTGTGGCTGAGCTGGTTAAAGCGTAAAGCATTGTTTATACTCGACGCGTCCGCATGAACACCATCTAGCTGTTTTTGAATACAAGAGTATCTCACATATGAACACCTCGAACAAGCATTTAAGGATTTTCACACTTGAATACCTGCAAAGATTGTACAAGTAAAACAAATAAACTTGCTGTATTGTACTAATTGAGACATGAATTGAATGCCAATGAATGCCCGATCTGTATGAGTTTTTTTTACTGATTCCTATTATGATTATAATGATATTATAATACGTTGTTTTTAATTAGGTGAGGGTTAAATGCTAGCAAAATCAGTTATCTGCATGATTATCAGTCAAGAAATTCTCAGTTCTTCACATACCGGTATATCCTAACTGGGTTAATATCACAAAACAAGAACTCACTGTCAGATTGTCTCTAAGTAGCTGCATGATGAGTGTGCTGTCTTTATACGAATCTTCAGTTAACTGGTCCAGCTCAGCAATGGCATCATCGAAAGCCTACATAAAAACAGATACATGGATAAATAAATAATACTAAGCATTACATTCATTCAACACAAAAGCTCAAGGGGCATTATTGTGTATGAGCTTTGAGTTTCATGAGCATCCATTCTAACCTTCTTGGCCAGTTCACAGGCCTGCTCTGGAGAGTTCAGGATCTCATAATAAAAGACTGAAAAATTGAGAGCCAGGCCCAGGCGGATGGGATGAGTGGGCTGCATGTTGTCTTTGCTGATGTCAAAGGCGGCCTGGTAGCCTTCCTGAGACTTCTGGATGATATCTGTAAACAAACACAAACATTATTTATGCAAGAATCATTTCATACTTTCCTACAAAACAGAACAAATTAAGGCCAACAATATACACTACCACTCAAAAGTTTGGAGTTTTTGTTTTTTTAGAAATGAATATATGTTCATTGAGCAAGGTCAAATACAGTAAAGACACTTATAATATTACAATAGATTTCTATTTCAAATAAATGCTTTTCTTTTAAACTTTCTATTCATCAAATAATCCTAAAACAATTATCACAGTTTCCACAAAAATATTGAGCAGCCCGACAATTTTCAACATTGATATAAATAAGAAATGTTTCTTAAACACCATATTAGAATGATTTCTGAAGGATCATGTGACGCCGAAGACAGGAGTAATAATGCTGAAAATTCAGTTGCCATCACAGGAATACATTACATTTTAAAATATATTAAAACAGAAGTAGTGCATGTAAAATATTTACAATTTATTCTTAAGGATTTGCTGAAGCGGATTTAAATGTGCTTTTTATTTGGCCAGTGTCCTAAAGACAGTTTCATGCCCTCTCCTTGCCTTGTGTATGAGACCATTAAAACAGACGTTTTAACATTTTGTTCATATAGTCAATATAGTTCACTTGCGGTTGCCTGTATTGATCTGTGCCCCACAAGAGAAATACATAAATATTTGAAGATAGGCAGCTCTGTAAAAGTGTTTCACGCTCCGTGCCTGATGAGCAGTAGTAATTGTTCATTTGAAGAGCTTTAGGAAACAGTGACCAAGCGGTGCATATATTAAACCCACCCGCAGGAGGTTCTGCCTACTGCTGACACCCAGCTGGAAAACACACATAAGCCAGATGCTGTTGCCATGACGATGATCATGCAGCCCATCATACTGACAGTAGTAGGTCAGCGGATGCTTAAGCTCAAATAGATCAGCGATATTCTTTCCTCTCTCATAAGAATCTATAAAAAACCTGCAGCTTAACTGTAATACTATATAAACATAGACTGATCTAGGATCTGCAGCACAGTCTGGTCCTGTCATTTCCACAGATGGCAGCTCCAGTCAGATCATTCACTCCTGTGCTGCCATAGAAACACACCAGGCTCTTAAAAATTCATCAAACCCTGCAGGGAGAAGAAGCAGCCCTAATAACCTCGTGCATCTATCGGAAAGAGTGAATTATTACGTCCACAGACATACTCAGCCAAAGACCACATGTGAAGGGAAATCACTCAATAGCCTCATTAATGAAATGAAAGAAGGTGGAGCAGGATTGTGCAGTCCTGAATCTGCAGTAACAAACATTTGCACGGCCCTTGCTAGATGCACACAAAAATCAACAACTGCAACTTGCTGTCCAATTCACAACCAAATCACTAGATTGGGCTAGTTTTTTGTAATAAAGTAGAGATATTAGCAACCGCGAGGATAGGCACAGGAGGCAGAAAACGTCACACTGGACGTTCTCAAATTAATCTGCAAGCAGCTTGTGTCTCAAGAGCTTTATGAACTAGGACACAAGACCTTCAGATCTAAACCTCCATCCTTCATTTCCAAATATATAATTAATGAAAACTGAGTCTGTGGCTACTTCATGTGATTCTAACTCTATTAAGAGTGTTAACTGACTGACCCCTTGAGTTCAAAAGCATCAAACACGATCAGGTAGTGGTTTTAAGGAAACCTCCTCACACTCTCTTCCAAACTGTTGCTAAGCTAACAACTCACTATTCTAATAAGCACAAAAATGCACATATATTTGGATAAAGAGCATATTTAATAAGATTGGGTTATTTTCAATAAATTCTTTAAAGTATCTAATAATGTATTTATATTTGAAATACTTGGTTTAAAGGGGTCATATTATGCTATTTTAAAAGTTTATTATTTTGATTATTGGGTGTAATAGAATAGGTTAACAAGCTTTAATGTTCAAAGCACATAATTTTTCACATACTGTACATTATTGGAAGTCCTCTATTCCCAGTGTCTGAAATGTGCTGATTTATACAAAGCCCCTCCTCTGATTAGCCAGGTGACCTAGTGCGTTGTGATTGGCCAAACATCTCAAGCGTGTCGGAAATGTAACGCCCCTAACCATAATCGCGAGCTTCAGCTTCCAAGGCTTCTAATTAGGGGTGCAACAGATCGTAGTTGATACGAACAAGGCCGCAAGGTACGGAACACATGTGATTTGCAGATTAATCCCATTTAACCATTATATAGTGAAAGTTTATTATTTGCATGCGTTTCTAAGGGTGTATTCACACCTGCCTTGTTTGGTTCGATTGAATCGAACTCTAGTTCGTTTCCCCCCTTGGTGCGGACCTTTTGGGCAGGTGTGAATACAGCAATCGAACTTGGGTGAGGACCAAACAACCGAACCGAGACCCAGCTGAAGAGGTGGTCTCGGTACGGTTCCAAACGAACTCTGGTACGGTTTGTTTACGGTGTGAACATAAACTGACCCAATTGCAAGAAAGCACTGCGCCTTTGAGTTAACAGGCTTCCGTAGTCGGAGTTGCGTTATGGGAAAGTGATCTGTTGTAGCCTACTATCTGTTGCCCGTCTTTCTGCGCGTCGTGTGTGCATCATTGGAATGGAATGAATGAACGAGTGTGTGCATCAGGACATTCACATACAGAGCGTTCTCTTTAGTCTAATCGCGCATAGATGGAAAAAAAAGCATTTGCAGTTCATATAATGTAACGATAGTTAGCCTACAATACAAGGATGATGCTGCGTTAATTTACGTTAAGCCTTTTTTGCACTTCCTGATTTCCCTACTTGAGAATCCTTGTCCAATGAATGGACGACCTTAGCACACGTGTGGTTTTGTTTACACATTTTGGTTCATTTGCAAAAAGAGCAGTGTGAAAGATAACCGTACCAAAAAAAAAAAAAAAATGTATTTGGTCTGGACCAAACCAAGTGAACTATCGGACTTTCCTGGTGTGAATACACCTTAAGTCTTGTCAATTTAAAACGTTTTTAAACCATTCAAATGCAAGAAGAGGCAAAAGAGATCTTGATTCACATAAAATCTCTATACCTGAATACTACTAATAGATAGGGGTGTCCCCGACTAAGGATTTTCATAGTCGAATCAGATTCGTCAAGTCCTGCCTATAGTCGACTAATAGTCGAATCATGTGTGTGGTGTTGGGGAGTGGGCGGGGCTTTAACATTTTAAAGCCGCGATGTACAGAACATCACACAAAGATATAGAAGATCAAGTGTATAAAAACATTTTGGATCAATAAAACTAAGAAATAACATAAATAACTGCAGAAAGGCCACACTGCAGATAGGATTTGCATTTCACATGCAAATCAAATTAAATCGGCTGAATTGCCTGTACGAGCATGCTCTAAGTAGGCCTACAGGGAAACATCGATGCACTGAAAAATAATCAACAATTAAGAACACAATATACATTTATAATAAATGAAAATACAAAACGAAATAAGTCAGAATCAAGTCACAAGAAGCAGAACAAATGTGTGCAAAATGCCTAAAGTGCAGGGGAACAAATATTCAAAACACAAGTCACAAATAGTTAAATTAGATCACCCTGAGTGATCAATTAATAAAATAAAAATAAAGAAATTATTAAAATAACGAAAGTATGGCCAGGATTGTCAACTTTGTCTTTTTAACTGCAGAAAAACAATAAACGCTAAACTGGAGCGGCAGTCTTTTTAGCTAAACGTGTTCACAGTATCCAAAAATCTAATTAGAACCGGCTGAAATGTTTTGAAATCACTTGTACCCATACCTGATCGAAAAAACTAAATCCAGTCTTTCACTCGGCCTGTGTCCGTTTGAGTCTTTTCAAATTGTGTGCGCGGATAAAATACATTCTAAAACGCTTAACGTGAAAAACGCTTAACGGCTTTGTCCTAAAACTGTTATATTAAAAGATCAAATTCTGTACACACCTTATTAATAAAGCATACTATATAGCCTACAGAAAAGCAGATGAGCCCAGAATATGAACGCAACGCGTTTTATTATAGGCTACGTTAAGCATTTTCCTCCCATAAAAAAACGTTAAAGAAAAAGCTTTACGTGACTTTCTATAGGAGAAACGCGTTGCGTTCATATTCTGGGTTCATCTGCTTATCTGCACATGGAATGGTTTCTTAAGGTGTGTACATACATTACGCTCGTAAAAGTGCCATTTAAGCGTTTTAAAAGCTTTTTTCACGTTAAGCGTTTTAGAATGTCCCGAGGAAAACCAACCTGTTAACGTTGTTCGGCAGAAGTGCGATCATGGTTTTCCTGATGCTAAATCCAGCCTTGGAGAATATCCTTTCTGATGGTGTGCATCTTTAGATTTTCTTATCCCAGACATTTTTAAAGATTTAAATCCCTGCCGACAAGACGCTCCTCTCGGTCACGGATCGAAAGTGAAACTTAAATCTGTCACGGGGTGTTTGGATTTATTCACGCTGCACGCACGTTAAAAAATATTTATTAAAAGCTTCTTTCTTTGCACATTTTTATTGACAGCATTATCATAATAGGCTGTATATTAACGTATTGACAGAAAACCAGTAGTTCTATGTGAAATCAGACATTGAGCACACTCATATAGCCAAAATGACATAATCCTCGTTTAATAACACATCTGCGAAGATTCGACCGTGAGATTGGTAGTCGAATCAGGCTCCTCCTATCGAAGCATCGAATCTTCGACTATTCGGGGTCACCCCTACTAATAGACCTAACTATTTGTACATTTACTATTCTATTGTCTGTTCATTTGTCTTTAATAATGTTTGAACTTTATTAGGAGTTTTGAGCAGGGCTGGATTTCCCAAAAGCATCGTAAGCTTAAGTTGATCGTAGAACAATTGCCACCAATGGTCTCTACGATCAACTTAGGCTTGCGATGCTTTGGGGAAACGCAGCCCAGAACATTACACAGTGGTAAGTAGCCTTTGTATACAGCCTGTGTTGTCCTCTCCTAGGATCAGGAAGCTGTCCTCAGTAAAATGCGCTGTGCACAAGCAAACTTTTGGGTTGTACTGCTCAGGAACAGCTTTATAAATAAATCTTAACCTCAGAAAGCAAAAGTGGTCCAAATACACAGCGACATGACGACAACACTTGAATTCACAGAAACCTTGCCTTCATTGCGCATGCCTTTGAGTGGGCATTATGCTAATATTTCACATTGTGACATGGACGTTTGAGGAATTAATATCTGGACTTTGATGGAGGAATTTTAGGCAGGTCTGGATCAATGTTCTCTGTTAAATACAATAAAAAAAACTTTGTGGGAGACTATGAGCTTTGTAACTTTGTAGATTGTGAACAAACAGATACATTACACACTAAAGAAAAACATTAAAAAAGCATAATTTGACCCCTTTAAAGTAATGCATTCTTAGATTGTATTCATGAGACAGTTCATGAGATGCTGCAATAGATGTTGGCTAAAAAAAGGGATTGGGTATAAGCAGCATCATTTTGCTGCATAGTGTTTGGAGCAGCCTTCGTGTTGGCGTGCCTATGATTTCTCTAGGTTGGCAGCTGGAGAGTTTGGAGCAGAGCCAGTATATTAGCTCAAGGACAAACAAATGAGTAAAAAAAGGTATTAAATTCACTACAAGAGTTATATTGGCAGTTATGTAAGACTCTTCATGGGGACACTATAGGTCTGTTCCAAAACCTAGTGGGCTGTCAATATGGACAGCATTTTAAGGCATCATTGGCTCGTCCCTGATAAAAGGCTCTTAAAAAACCCTTTAACATTAGGGCTTGGTAAAAAAAAAAAAAAAAAAATAGATTTCTCGATTTTAATTGATTCTCATTTTTAGGAACCAATATAGATTCTAAAAATCCCAAGAATCGATGTTTATGCTGTTTTCAGTTGATAAATGAACAGAACATTGTAGCGTGCTTCCCATCCCAGAAAAAATAAATAAAATAATAATAATAATTCGCAATAAGCTTTGTGCTTTGTTACTTTTGATATAAAAAGACTTATATGAAAAGATATCAAATTCTGTCCATTCATTATGAAAATCAAACAATAAATACAGTTTTGGCACTCTTTAATGTGACGTGACAGATTGCTGTTGTCGCCTCAGATCAAGCGAATCGCTTGAGAACTGATCATCTCTTCCGCTTTACTACAAGTTACAGCACTAAAAATAAACGTGAATCCACATCAGAAGGTGTTAAAAAATACCGTACAACTTACCGAAATCCGTATCCTCTCATGCAATCGCTCTTCCTGTGCGATTGCATGAGAGGATGTCTTCCTGTGTTTCAACCACAGGAAGACATCAATAAAACAGCTTGTAAACAATGTCACAATGTTACACTTACCTCAGAAAAGCCATTCAGTGACCATAAACTCGTTAGTCAGCTAGTAAAGTGAACTGATTTTTTTCCCCTTGAGAAAATCTGCCATGTACTGTCCCAGACATATATCCAAATTAATCGATATCGAATCGAATCAAATCAAAAACTTGTGAATCGAAATTGAATCGGAAAATTTGTGTCAATACCCAGCCCTAATTAACATTATGCCATTTTCTAAGATATCTCATTTATCCAAAATATAAAGACTGGTGGAATGGAATTATTATTATTACCGGGGCCAAGCGCAAGAAGCGGCAACAGATGCCATCATGGGTGGGAGTGGCAGACCAATTGCAGCAAGGAGCAATTAAAGACATTAAGAGAAAATGAAGAAAATGGCTAAAAACATATATACAGTAACTTTTAAGATGATTTAATGGATTATCACTTTCGACCAATAGGTGGCGCAGTTACGAAATCGATGTGATGTTGTCAGAGTGAGGTGACAATGACACATACACAGTTTGGAGTCAAAATGTCAAGGCATTGCAGAGATAAAGACTTAGTCATTTTGCCAGCATGCCTCAACTTTGCTGCTGCGGTATACGAAAACGGGTTCGTCTATCGTCACGAAATACATAACTTTTAGTCGGCATGGTCTGGAGATGATAGGATTCGATTTTGGTGAAAATCAGACGAATGGTCTAGGAGAAGTTCGAAAAAGAAGGTTTTGAAAGTAAATTAAGATACGTCAAACTTGGTATCCATGTTCTCGGCATGACCCAAGGAATCTGTTAAAGGTACAATATGCAGGATTTTTGCAGTAAAATATCCAAAAACCACTAGGCCAATGTTATATATTTTGTTTAGTTGATTACTTACAATATCCCAAATGTTTCCAACTATTTGTAAATCGTGAGAAAATTGCGATTTTAACCAAGGAAACTGGACGTGTGAGCAGGGGTGAGGAGTCGCCAGTCAATGGCGTCATATCCGCGTTACCCCCGGTTTCCGCCAGGTTTGACCTCGTACTGCAATAGTAACCATGGCGACAGACGTTGACAACTGGGTTATGCCCGTTATGCCTAGAAGGACGCTCATGCTGCTGTTGTTTTGTTCAAACATTTTGGACCATGGCAAGCAGACTTTGAGACAAAAAGAGGACTAAAACGAAGATCAACATCTTTCGAGGTGCCGAGAGCTCCACGTCCGCGACTAACTTCCACTTGACAGAGACGCGAGTGTTGCATGTTACTTTATTAGACAGGTGAGCAAATGTACATAAAACTAATCAATGTTATTTTGTTCAACATGATGAAAAGTTAGAATATGATCTGTATGTTATTCTCTAATGTTGATCTGTATGTTATTCTCTAATGTTAATCTAGCTTAGTCTCATACAGCAAACAAACTAACAACATTCCACCCACAAATGCCGTTTAGTGAGATAGTGTAACTGTTAGAGCAAGTGAAACAGCGCTGCGTTACCTCAAGTTTAATTCGTCTAATAAACTGACCTGTGTGAGTAATTCAGCACTTGCGTGTAGTTCGGTAGAATTAAATGTCCTTTATATCCGCAGGACTCGCGTTGCGTGTGGTGCTGGTATACGTCTAGCAATCGCGTCCTGCTTCATACCACAGTCATGTTAAAAACATCAATCTATTCACTCATCCATAAAAGATCCATCAGCTTGACGACAAGATCCATAATTCCGCTTAATGCTGAATATACGTCATTAATATACGCCTTTGTTATTGTAAGAGGTTAGCGACCCCTGGTGGCAAAAAATCCTGCATATTGTACCTTTAAGACCAGTGTCATTACAATAGGCATATTTTTTCAAAAGTTATTAGCATTTTTGGAAATTTTATTTTAACTTTTGACCACTAGGTGGCGCTGTCTCAATCTTTTGAGTACGTTCAGGGGATGGTGCTGGTGGCAAATTCTGAGTTTCATAATGTTACAGCAATGCATTTGTTAAGTATAGCATTTTACATCACAAAACTGTATTGAAGTCAATGGGAATTTCATGTTTTGTTCTATTATAGCGCCACCAAGAGGCAAAATCCCAAAAAAATTTCTCATGTGTCCTTAGAATGAGCCCATACATGCGTGTGCCAAATTTGGTGAAAATATCTCAATTCGCTTCGGAGTTATAGACATAAATATGAAAAAACACGTCAAAAATGACTGACACATGACTTTGATTGAATTTTACTACCCCTTACTCTCCATATTTTGGCATTTGGGAATTAACGTATAGCCAGCGACCTATGTTTCCAAACTTCAAACGGGGGTTTCGTCTTGATCGGACTAACGGTTTTGAAGATTATTGGCAAATGTCTTTTAAGCGCTAAATCACAACGCTAAACAAACCGTAAGACGAAACCTAGGATGTTTGGTATCTGTGGACTCGGCAAGGATTCAGGAACCCAACGAGATGACTCTCGTGAAAATAAGTCAACCACGCCCAGAGTTATAAGCATTTGAAAATTAAATGTTTTTGTTTCAAAACTTCTCAGGCTCCTTCAAGGCATCGTACTGATGACCCATACCGAGTTTCGTAACAATTCGTTCATGCATTAAAAAAAATACAGCATTTTAGCACAATTCAATTTTGGTGAAAATCGGACAAACCGTCTAGGACGAGTTCGCAAAAGTAGGTTTTTTGGACTATTCAAAATGGCGGACATATTTTTATGACGGAAAATGACGTCATAGGGTGCGATCGAATCGTCATGATCTCGGGAATCAGAGGAAAACATAATTTTGTTGATAGGCCTTACGGTTCAAAAGTTATTAGCATAATTTGAGTGAAACTTTGGACAGGTGGTGGCACTAGAGGCAATGAGTTAAAGACACCAAAATTGGTGTATTTAATGTTGGGACTGTCCTCTATCAGAATGTCAAACCATAACAACTTTCCCGCAAACGGTTCTATGGGGTGCCATAGACACCCAGTCGGAAGAAGAAGGAATAATAATAATAAAAAGAATCTGAACAGATACAATAGGTGCCTCCGCACCTTCGGTGCTTGGCCCCTAATTATAAAATGTAAAAAAAAAAAAAAAAGAGTTCACGAAAAGTTAATTCTAAACATATTTCATTCAGTACTGAAAAGTATTGAGTATTTTATGCAACCCTGGTGTGTGCCATGTATTTCTTGTTGCATTGTGTTTGCTTCATATTGTATACCTGTAAGAATTGTAAGTGTGGCTTACATTCTGAGCCATAAACTATTTCTGTTTTAAAAGATTTTGTGCAACATTCAATCAATAATCAGTCATTCAGGGTGTGGAAGCACAAGTAAAGACCTGTTCCACTGGTAGCTAACAAAACCCCCAAAAATCTGCATGTGTGTGATGGAGGTGTGGCTGCACAACTCTCACGTTCAGAGACCATGCTGAACATCAAAGACAATCTAATATTTGGATCCGTTTCTCAAATGAAAATAAATTACACTAAGAAAAGACAACTAAGAATGTGCATCTTGTATAAATCTTATATAAATGTTGTTTGAGAGAAACTCACTGGCTTTCTCGTCTCCTGTGGCGACCTCTGCCAGGTAGCGGTAATAGTCTCCCTTCATCTTCAGGTAGAACACCTGACTCTCTGCTGGAGAAGTGTTGCGGATCAGAAACTTGTCCAGGAGATGCTGCGGATGAGAGACACATGAACCTGAACACGCAGTCCAAGACAATAACGTTTCTAATTGGTCTAATTTTCCAGTGAACATTTTCTAGTAGCAAAGTCATAAACGCAATTGACTGAACACAAAGTATAAGAATACAGGTAATTTCAAAAGGGACTTAAGAAAGATTTGGCATCATTCACCATCACCCAGGATGAACAAATATGACGAAACTGAACTGAAAACTGTGTATCCTAGGCACAAGATATGAGTTTTCACAGTCCAACCAATGAATACCCATAACATATCAGGATATCACAGTAAAATTGTAACAACGTAATATTGAGCTTGAAAAACAGCAGAACTAATATGATGCTGAACTCACACACTACTTGTCAGTGAACAAGTACAAGGGTTCCAACTTCCCACACTTTCGGCCCAATGAATACCCATAATTTTTCTATAGATTTCCATTTTTATGGAAACACATCAAGATTCATAGCGGCTCAAAATACCTGCCTGCAAAACTCTGGAGCGTACTGTCGTATTTTTTGCTTTACAAGTTGTTCCATAAACATTTATGTACAACTTTACTCAGTTGTCCTTGTTTATGGCTGTTTGCAACATCTTAATGTTGAATTTCTTCTTCTTTGCAGATGGTGTATCACCGCGAGACTTACAGCACCACTCAGTCCAACGGATATTTTCACACTTGGTGTGAATAGCTATTCATTTTGCAATACACTTTACATTTTAATTTTGTTCTTGTTGTGAATCATCATTTAAAATTATTCTTTCCAACTCTCCAACAATTTTGGGAAGAACATTGGGACCACCAGCGAGGTAGTCTCGCGTAGCCAGACCTCCAGACTGATGGCAGAAGGTCTGGACTCTTTAGCAGCTTTCATTGGCCAAGGACCGCCCAGAAGCCGTCTGGCTGACATGTAAAGCAAACAATCAGTTTGTTTTGTTCCGCGTCATGCTAAGGGGCATGAAAATGTAACGTTGATGTCCCTACAATGACATACCGGTGTAAAACTCTTGGACGTATTTTAAAGAGTCTGTGCCATGAACTTTACATACTTCGCATACTTTTGAAAATCCAGCATTTAGTTGATCCTGATAAGCACTCATTGTCACAGTTGTAAACAGAACGGCTTTCTTCCTCCATAAGCGGGTTTGGCGTCACATCATCTTTGCTTCCAGGTGGACGTTAAAAAACATGACACACGACTCCCAGAAATCAGAAGACGACTTCGAAATCCCTGAAGTGTTACCAATTTTGTGTGCCATTTGCATCAGACATTCAGCCAATGGTCCGTGGGCGTGACGTCAGAGGCTGAGACTACCAGCGAAGGCACAAGCACCTCATTACTTCAAGATGGTACTTTATCTCACCATCTAATAGGGCTTGTAATATTTAGAAGAATCAAAAATTTAAGGTTGTTTAGAGGATACAAGATGTAATGTCCAGCAGGTTCTCCCTTTGTAGAAGCCAATTTCAACCCATTACCCTCCTACTGCCAGATTAAACATCACATTCTTGTGGATGCAGTCTAAATAACATCTGGAAAAGGGAAGGAATGTCATAAATGCAAAGCATAACATTCCGTGTGTCACCGTTTAAGATGCCTCAGGCAAAAATCCAACTAAAACAGCCCGGAGAGGGCATGGTCCTGTCTGATCCAATAAAGCCTTATTGACAGTAGCACAGAGTAATTTTCACTTTCAGTTTCCTGAGAAAAAAAAAAAAACTCTTGCAACCAAGAGCTGATTTGGTGATCATTTAAAGAAAATGCTTGTTTTGCTTTTCTGGATACAGTTTGGGCAAAACCAACAACCTCTAGCCACTGACTGACTGAAAACCTTGGACAATATAAAAAAAAGTTTGTTCAGCGTGAGCTCCGCATGCTCGCGAATTATTTCGTTTTAACCAACAAAGTATACAATTAATGTAAAAAAGTGATTTATTGGGCAGAATAGACAGATTTTCTCTCAGTCAGCTTGTGCTGCGGCTCAACTGAAGATATAAATGGTATATAACCAATTCATAATTTAAATGAAAGTTTTACTTTTCATGCTGCAAAGTTTCAACTTTGATTTAAAAGCGAGGTGGAAAGGAGGGAGCACTTATGAATGCCCATGCGGCCGTACACATTTTACTTGCGAATTAGCGGCAATTCTGGTGTGACGATGGCTTGAATGGTGGGTCCATTATTATTCTCAATGAAAAACACAACAAAAAAAAACAGTACAATGACAAAATATTGCCAAATAGTTGATTTATATTTCGCGTCGAAACCAAATCTTCTGCCATCGTCTTGTCAGCTCTAGTGTTGTCAAAAGTACAGACTTCGGTAACAAGTCGGTACTGAAATTTAAAAAATGTGATGCTTTGAGCGCTGTTGAGCAAAATCGTAAACGCCTCTGATTGGCCATTGTGTTCACGCGCTCATCGGATATGTCTGCGATTGGCTACAATGATCAACACACGGGGGCGTTTGAAAGCACACGGAAGTGTTTGAAAGTTTTTTAGAAAACGTGAGCGGGAGCTTTTGAAAGCACAAGCAGCCGTCTATCAGTGGACCAGTCCGCCGATAGACGCCTGCTTTCAAACGCTCCCGTGTGTATCTCTGTAAGCGCTCGGTGAAGAGCGTCATTAGTGTATATTTACAACATGTTTTTGAAGCGCTGATCATTGTAGCCAATCATAAACATATTTGATGAGCGCGTGAGCACAATGGGCAATCAGAGGTGTTTACGATTCCGCTCAACAGCACTAAGAGTCACATTTTTAAAATTTCAGTACCGACACAAGTCAGCTCCTCAATCTCGTCACATGATAAATTAAATTGGACTCCGGCTGCTGTTCTGTGTTGCGACTCTCGTTCGGCTCATGCTGCGACTCTCGTTCGGCTCATGCTGCATTGAGGAGACATTGAGACGACCCATTCAGTATTTAATTGTAGTTAGAGCTGGGATAAACGATTATTTTTTAAACGATTAATCTAGCGATTATTTTTCGATGCATCGATTAATCTAACGATTCATTTTCCAGTCCGATTCGATTCTCTCCCCATTAATTGACTAATAGTACTTTATACATGTTGATTTACATATCTGAATGAAAAAAACCCCATGAATTCCTTAACATTGCAATATATGTTTATTGCTCTTAAAATTCCAAAATAAAAGACTATGTAAGTGCAAAGTAATGCATTCTTATTTTCGTAACATTCTCATTTTCCACTAGATATTATGTTCCTCTATATCTCATCAGCAATTTCGATTTCGGCACGCTCAAGGAGCGAATGTACAGTGACGTGACATCACTGCCAGATTCAAACTGTGCTTTCGCGCTATGGCTGGCGCTGAGCCAAAGACAGATGCGCTCAGCGCTTGTCATCATAGGCTATATTACAACTGTTCAGTGTTTTTAACCACATAATGTTTATTTTAGGTTTCAGACATTTAAATACATTTAATTGATAGTAAAACAATACATTTATAGTTTCTCCCAGTTCACCGGCCACTTACTTTCATGTATTTCGGGAGAAACTGATGAATTCACGTGCTGTAATAAATCCAACAGACAGGAATCTCGGAACTGCGGCCCAAACAAAAACATGACGGCGACATCTCTCGCATGCATTGTGCGTGCGTGCCGCCTTGCACTTCTGAAAGTCTGAGGAGCCACTCGTGTTGCTATACTACTCTCCGGCGGCGCCGTCTTTGTTTTGGGTCTGACGAATCGACGCGACTATAATACGTTGTCCCAGCCCTAATTGTAGTGTCTGTTCTCTAACTTAACTAAATTATTTTTATTACTCAGACCTGCAAACTCCTCAGAGTAAAAAAGGTGACGGGGGGGGGGTGTGGTTACAGTTACATGTTGTTCTGGATGAACACTATCCTGTATATAATTATCATAGGATTGGCAAAGGAGAAAAAGGCAGTAAAATATAAATGAACCATGATGAGAAATACATTTGTTACTGTATTTATTATTCTTTGTTAATAAAAATACAGCTGTTCGTTGTTTGTTCACATAACTTCACAGTGCATTAGGCTAACTAATGTTAACAAATAGAACTTTTAATTGTAATAAGGCTACCAGTAAATAGTGAAATTAACATTACCAAAGATTAATAAATGCTATTTATTTATAAAGATTAAGAAGTGCAGTTTATGAATAGTTAATATTAACTAGTTTGGTGTTATCGATTTGTTATACACCGATTCAGATCTCTTTTTGAAGAGACAGATCAGTTATTTTAACCATTCATAAAAGTGAATCGGTTCAAATGAGTCATTAGTTCGCGAATCGGACGTGCCATTAGCTGACACACACGGCACGCGTTGTGTGATTATCCTAGCAGATAAGGACTAAAGGACATCACACAAGATTTGTGTCTACACAGAAAACATTTAATCACTGGATAGGTTTTTTGTTTATTCAAAATTTGGTTTATGTCAGCTGAATGTGCGGAACGCTTTTCAGAGAGGATAGGGCAATTTTAGTAGGCTACAATTCACACCTAGCGGTAATTCAGGGAAAATAATCTCTGAAAATGCTCCACGTGAAACTTTGGTCTTTTGACCTTTTACTATCGTATCAATTCTCAATAGATTTTGATTAATATGCGCGATGAAGGGAGAGCAAGGCAGTTTGAATACAGTGAGAGTGCGCGCGCGCGACCGGCTCTCTCTATGCTCGTTCTTTCAGCGCCCTGTCACGAGCGCAGCATAACAAAGCGGTAGCTAACGTTAATTGAATCAAGCAAACAACTAGCTGTTGTTTTTGCTCCAAAAAAAGTTTGATTTACCTCGAATTTCACATAAGATTCCTTCACGTTATGAGTTTCCATCAGACTCTCGTGGTCTAGCCAGGTGTCTCATCGATTCTGACGCAAGTGCTAAGATTCCGATTGGCCAAGAGAAAAAGTACTAAGATTCCGATTGGCCCAGAGAAATGTCATTTATAAGAAGTATCCAATAATGTTTCGCAATTCTAGCCTGCCTGCCTGCATGCAGATGAAGGGCAGCCTACAACCCCCAACCCCCCCCCCCCCCCCCCCCAAAAAACTCTCCGGTTCTACGCGATTCACATGAATGACCCAATTGACCAAAAAAACGGCGATTATCGCCGAAAAGCGACAAGTTTGCAGGTCTGATTACTATAAAAAAAATCTAAATGACTGTGGGAGGCGGTGCCGCGGTGGGCAAATGATGTAATCGGCGTGCGACTAAACACCGTGTAACACTGACTGTTGCAGCAAGCCTAAAGCAATGTTTATTTAACTGAACAATATTTGAAGACTACATGTAAATGTGTTAATGGATTATTTACTTATCATTAATAGACTTAAAAATAAGCTAATTTCATTTATTTACCATTTATAATTTTCAGATAGTTAAATAAAAAACTAAATTAACAAAATAGTTACAATAGTATTTTGCTAAGGTACCGAAACAGGTACAGAGAACCATGACATTTTGGTACCCTGACAACCTTATTCGGTTCCAGAGTTGTAATTTTTTTTTTTTTTTTTTCACAAAACTAACACTAGTTCTGAATGAGAATCAGTTCTTTATTTTCAACCCTAGTTCTGGTTAAGACCAAAAATAAACCTTGCTGACAAGACATTATTCACAATATTCCATTTAAAATGTCAAGCTTTGTACCTGTTATGAACCTATCAGTGGTTCTTTCCCTTTCAAAGCTTACCAGAACATCTTTGCAGATGGCCTTCAGCTCTGTCTCAATCTTCTCACGGTACTCTTTAGCCATCTGCTGTTTGTCACTGCCCTCAGTTTTCTGCTCGATGCTGGACACTACCCTCCAGGCGGACCGGCGAGCGCCCACAACATTCTTGTAGGCCACAGAGAGCAGGTTTCTCTCCTCGTCGGTCAGTTCCTCTCCAAGTTCGGTTACTTGCTTCATGGACTCAGCCATGTCATCGTAGCGTTCGGCCTGCTCCGCCAGTTTGGCTCTCTGCACTTGTTGGCTCTTGTCCATGGCTGCTTGGTTCTATAGGAAAAAAACAAAGTTTAATTAAAAGATCAATTAATATGTACATTTATAATTGGTGATATAGTAAGGGAACTAAATTGTTTGTTAATTGGACATCTTGAATGAAGAGTTATAGCTTACTTTCAATAAAAAAGGAACAGAAATGTCCTGAATACAGATCAAACTCTATCATGTTGAATCTTTGGTGGTTTTTGAACTAAAGAGGTAAGAAATGATTAATTAAGGATTAATCTGATCTGAATGGTAAAATGGCTCCACATTTTCAAATTCCATTGGCAGGAGCCACAATGTCTTACTATTCATCTGCATGAAGGTAAACTATACTCAACTTTGTTGCATCACCAACATTATTCATCAGGGCTCGAATTTCGGCGCGGGATTGCGGGTATTGTGCATAATTTGAATCATTCCCGCAGGTCTTGTGTTTATAATGCAGGAAATTCCCGCAAACATTCAATAACTCTAGCATGTAGGTTGTATGAGTAAATTACTCCAAACATATTATAAGATCAAATCAGTCATTTAAAAACTTTCTGCGCGACGCAATTTCTCAAACCGCGTGAGTGTTCAGCGTTGCTTCTGTCTCTCTCAAAATGGGGTGCACAAGGCAAGCGTCAAGAGCTGCAGCAGCAGGCGGCGACTCCAGACTCTCGCGCTTCAGGAGTCGGGACAGTTGACAAATGTCACTTGCACGACCGGGCCATGATTGCATCGTCACTAAAGTTGATCATTTGCACGTCTTTTTAAGTCTTACCAATTTAAACATTCAAGCGATTTTAAACCCTTTAGTACTCACGCGCTCACTGAGAGATGCTTTTCTATGCGCACAAAGCCGCATAACAAACAGCTTGCGAGTAACAAAACTCAGTTCTTTTCCGCGGATTATAGCGCTTTAACGGTCAAAAGCACAACATTATGTCTAAATTCCGGCCTTGGTGAGTATCCTCTGAAACACAATCGCTTATGTCTTAAATAAAAATAATACAAAAAGAAAAAGCATGTGACAGTATAATGAAAACAGTATGGGCCGTTTTCAGAATGGCCGCGCTCAAGTTCGTTATTTATCCTTTGCTGAAACGTCTTCTTCATGGCTCACACATTGCTTAGCAACGGGGAGCCCTTTTTAAAAGAGGACGGCGGTTTCCACACGTTTTTAGATGCAACATGAACAGCCCCTACTGGATTCATGCACTAGCTCTTAAAGTGAGAGTAGCCTAATATGTGTGTGTCATTATTGTAGATAAAACAACAAAAGATAGCATTAATTTTAAGGAATCGGGATTAATAACCTATGTATTCACTTTATACAGGACTAAAAGACTATTCAGTGTTATTTTGCATTTGATTACTTTATTTCTGAATACTAGTGTTAGACCTAAACTTTTATTTTTATTTCATGTATTTTTTGTGCTACTTTTTTTCAATTAAAAAAAAACAAAAACTTACTTTTGTTGTGTAAACTCTTAATTTTTTTTTTAATTACCCCACTGTAAAAACACAAATACAATGAGTGAGCAAACATTTAGGTAGATGTAATTTAAAAAAAATGCCCTCCCCCCCTCAAATTAAAAAATCCCCCCCCCATAAAAATCCCCCATTTTCCAAAACGAAATTCAGGCCCTGATTCATGGCACATCGCACCAACTCATATTGAAAATTATGACTTCCACTTGCTGCAAATTCAATTCAATTGATGCCCTGGGCAATACAGCTAAAATAATTGCTAAATATTGACAAAACTCAATATATATTTTTAAACATTTATGTATTTGCTCCAATATGGCTAAATTGAGATTTTTTTTCTCAATCATAGGAACCATAATTTCGACCACACAGTCATTGTTGCCACATAGGACTTGAAACCCTAGCTGAGTAGCACCGCCAGTAGTACGCCAAAACACTTTTTTTTTGTATTTGAATGGGGTTTTACGTTAATATGAGAGGAGTGAAGCACAAAGCTTTTTTTTTTACAAAATAAATAATAGGTGTGCAATTAAATGTTACATCGCAGCCATGAAAACATTTGGATTCATGCCGAATGAGGGAGGTACGTGAGGCCATAAATTTAAGCTTTGTCAGCTTTGTTTATCGATTTGGTCACCCGGCAATCAGCGAATTTAACAATAATCCATTAGTTAATGGATATTCGCATTCTTTACTGTGGTAAAGTAGAAAAAACGCTGTAGGACAGATAACCTAACTTTTTACTTGCACGTAAAATTCTTTAACACAGTTTGTGCTTGTTAGACTTGGTAAGGCGCGTCAGGTTAATTTGTAAAGCGTGTTTCACACACGCGGGTAATTTTAGTTTTGGTTTCTCTGGCAGCACAAAATCAAACATATAGCCTAATATATGTCTTTTATACATATAACATAAATGTCTTGCCCTTATGGAAGATAAAATTCGCTCTTCAGACCTTCTACAACAAGTAGAAAACATGAAGATAAGAAAATTTCCTGCTCGTGTCCCACATCCATCTCAAAGCGGTAGGCTTAGGCTATATTGCGCGTCTTTGTGTGAAAATATTAGGGATGTGAATTTCTGCCAAAAATGACATTCGAAAATCGAGGAGCAAAAGTCGATTATCGTTCGAAAATCAAAAAAAAAAAAAAAGAAAAAAACCCGCACACTCACAATTACAGAAAGGGAGGCCAATTTCATCTTTAGCGATTTGTCATCAAACAAACTGTTTATTATTCGAACAAATAACATGTTTTCGTCGTTTTTGTTAACATACCGGTAGTTAACATATAAGAAAAAAACAATAAGCACGACAGTCCGTTTTTGCATCGCCAAACCAGATGCTCGTTAGATAAAAAAAATAATGTCATAATGATTTTATGCAAACCTGCCTTGTTACTGCAAAAGCCTAACGTTACTTTTCAAACAAATTAGTTGCAATCAAAACTATTCGTGTGATGCCACATTACCGCGGGATGGCGGGTGTTCATTTCATAAACTGTGGACAATGGTAGCTTATTTAATGTAGCCTATAAATTAATGTAGCCTATATGTCCAAAAACGGATATTGTCATCATACTTGTAGTGCTATCGTCGAGTAATAATCTGTTTGGTTGTAAAATGTATTACCTGAATGAAATGAACTAGAATGTATCGTCCTGTGGAATCATTCATTCACAGACATCATACGAAGATGTTCAACTAGATCTTCATCGCTGGCAAAAATATGATGCATTTGCAGATTTGCTTTCACTAGACTAAACTGTAGGTCCACGGCCACTTCATCCAACGCTCTTGATGTTCTTAAATCTTCCTGTTACGACTCCGTGTCGAGTGTGAATAAAGCGCTTCAGACGATTCAGTGCGCGAGGAACTGAACAGCTCATTCAAACTGATTCGCGAACCGATTTAGACAGATCTGCCAACTTGTTTGATGAAGTCTTTGAACAGAATCGACTCAAAAGAGTGATTCATTTGTGAATGGAGCATCGCTCATGCCCATAAAAAAGACACAGCGCGCTTGGAATAAACTACGCATTTAACAACATGTTTTGCATTAAAATAAAGTAACGAGAGGAACGTCGTCCAACGTAGTGAAGTAAATGTAGATTACTTTGTTACTACCAGAGACAGTAAAGGTTAGTCTACTACCCACCTCTGTTGGGCGCAGAGTTAACGGTCACGACAATGCTCTTCTTCTGTTGTTTGTTTACACTATGTATAAAACGCTGGTATCCTAGATCGCGCAGGAGGGGGTTTCATTCAAGTTAGTGGCACCTTGTGTCCCCGACAGGAAAATACCCTGCTGCGCGATCTAGGACAGTAGGCGCGCCGTCAATTATGTCACATTGGAATTGCGCGAAAATATAACGATATTCGAATAAGCAATTTTATGATCGAATTTCGAACGCAGTTCGACTATCGACTATTCGAAGATCGCGACTCATCCCTAGAAAATATAAAACGAAAGTTTTTTAAATATTTAACTTTATTATATTATTTAAGTTACCATTATTTACTGATATTTATTTCAATGCTTTACAGGCTTTAGTGTGTTGTTTCATTGACATAACAGGGTACATGCAGGAATCATAGAGATGAATTTACTACCTTTTAATACCTTTTTTACTACCTCCACAATATTTTTTACTACCAACACGACATGTATTCTATGTAACGTTACAATGTTCTCAATATAATTCATAATCCCACGTTTAAAATGAACAACGCGTTATGGTTATTGTGTTATTAAAAACTGTGTACGCAGAGGGGCGGGGTGACCAAAGCTCATTATCATTTAAAGGCATGTGCACTGAAACAGCGTGCTGAAAACAGAGCTATTTTTGACCAGGTAAAATAAGTGTTTTCTTACAATACTAATGAGAATTTTTAATAAAAGTATATTACAAAGTTTTCATTTAGACCCTAAAGATTCATATTAACTTGTACAAAAATGGCATTATATGACCCCTTTAACCCTAGCCCTTGAGTTATCCTAACCATTACGTTAACCCTTAGCCCTAATAAGGTGAATAATAACCATGGCACTTAAAAACAAATGACACTTAATAGTCATGTCTTCGGTGGTGGGCGACAGACACTTATCCTTTCTTGCCCTGTTTTTTTGTTGTTTTTTTAAGCTTTGATTTTACCACTTGATTTCATAGCTTTCTTCTTTGCTGGACCTGATCATTGTTTTGGTATAATCATGTCAATATCAAAAAGTAGAATAAAAACGAAGCATTAAAAAGTTTATTTTAAAAGTTTATTTAAGTCTAATTTTCTACCATATAGCCTACTGTAAAATTTAATAGAATTAGCTGCCAGATAAATTTTTTGTTGTTGTAATTAAATAAATAAAAATTGCTGCTAGATGATAACTTGCTTTGCACTTTTTTTTCTGGTTTCACCTCACTCCAGTCTAAACTAAATTATTATTATTTATTTTTTTGGCAATGTTTCTACACATTATAATATAAATAACCTGAAAATACTACGTAGTTTACAACATACATGAATTGTTTGTTCATGTTAC